AGCATGACGTCATATGGTGTGGGATATCCCTTGGGTCAGTTGGGGTCAGCGGTCCCGGCCGTGTCCCCTCCCAACTTCTCGTGCACCCCCAGCCTGCTCGCTGGTGGGGTGGGGTGAGGAGCAGAGAAGGCCTTGACTGTGTGTCAGCACTGCTCAGCAACAACGGAAACATCCCTGTGTTATCAACACTGTTTCCAGCACAAATCCAAAACATGCCCTATACCAGCTACCGTGAAGAAAATCGACTCTACCCCTGCCAAAACCAGCGCACTCGGGAAGCAGCAGCCTCGTGGGAAGGGGCCTCCTCTTGGTCCCTCGGGTGGGCTGCGTCGTACCTGCTGCCGGCGTTGCGGCCGTGCGTGGTCCCCGCGCGAGCCCCTGTTCTGACCTGCCGTGGGTTTGTTTCCGCAGGCCTCCAAGAACGCAGAGAACGCCACCACGGGAGAGACGGCGGAAGAGAACGAGGCTGGCGACTGAGCAGCTCCCGCTCCCTCCATGTAGCACCCAATTCACACACACTCGCCCCTTTTCCCCCCAAAAACAGAAGCAAAATAATCTAGCACTGTTTGTCTCTTACGACCAAACCGCAAACAGTCTGGACTTCCCACTGACTACAACCAGCTCCTATTGACTTTGCCAATGAGGGAGGATTCTCTCAGCCACTTCAGACTACTTAAAAAAGAAAGCAGAAAAATAAAATCAGGAGTAAAAGCTAGTCTATATCCACTCTTTCTAACCTTTTGTAATGCCCATACTTGTTGAAGACGTGAACAACTAAGCCAATCCCAGTGAGAGAGGGAGTGTAGAGAGCTGCCTGCTTTCTTTTTTCTCCAACCCCCCCCCTTTTTTTTTTAATTTCTTTCTTTACAGATTTTCTTGGAGGAAAAAAACCCAAACCAAACAAACAGCCGATTACGCCTGAGAAAAGGTGCCCTGTGTTTAGTGATATGGTACGCGTGGACGGTGTAAGGGGATCTGCCTCGCTGCGCCGCCTCGGCTCCTCCCGGCCGCGTAGGCATCCCTCTCCATTGCCTTGGGGCAGAGGATTTCTCACTCTCTTCTTTTAGCCTCTAGATTGTACATTTATAATTGGGAAAAATATCAAATTTTATGTCCCCTGTGAAACTGCAGACTGTTCCGTCTACTCTGTTCTGTCTCTGCCTTGATTTACGTATAAACGCTCTATTTTTTAATACGCCGCTGTGGCGAGCTCGTTTTTAAATTGACTGTCCAGCCTGCTCGGAAGCAGATGACGTTCCCCGCCTGACAGCTCTGCGGAGGGGCAGGAGGCAGGCGAGCTGCCCGCCGCCCGGCAGTGGTTTTTAATTCCCTGGTGTCCCGGGGAGTTTTATTTCTTTGCCGGCACCTGCTGACCGGCTCTCTGGTTATTCCCCCGCTGTAGCTGAATTCGGGAAAAACTCTCGCCTTTAAAAACGCTCCCAGGCGTCTCCGCAGGCACCATGCTTCCTCGCCAAGATCTGGGTTTTCCACCCCAAACTCCACAACGTGCAAATATTACCAAAGTCAATAAAAGAGAAGAA